GGCCAGTGTGTCCCCTGGATCCACCTGTCTCTGACTCCTCTCCCTACCCAGCCCTGGCATGTGCTGCCAGCCCCAGATTTTACACGGGTGGGTACTGGAGTTCTAGACACGGGTCCCCAGGCTTGCTCAGCAAGCACTTTGCCTACTGAGCCATCTGCCTAGCCTCTCTAAATTCTTTACTGTTAAAGCCACCAGAGTCTTTTGGAAGCCAATGTACCGCGCATAGAACTCATGTCAAGACAGGTAAAATTCTTGTTCTCAAACTCAAGGTTTTCTTTATTTTTTCTTAGGAGATCAGTAAGATGCAGATGCTGAGAATATTAATAGGGTACCTCTTTGCGTCATCTGAAACAAATTTGATTTGAATTGCTCTCTGGGGTTTCGAGTTGTTGAGGCCAAGAGACCAGCAGGTCTCTACGCATGAGGATGTCCATACCACTTGGGAATAGTGTCTGAAGGTGTGATTTTCCCTCTGCTTGGCCAGGATATGAGAGTTAATATTTGCTTCTCAGAGCATACTTCCTCAGTACCTTAGGGCAGCCAGAGAGGAATTTCTGGGTTCTGAGTTTCCAGCCTTTTAACTGTTCTAAGTGCTGTCCTCCCTTCCCCCACCTCTCAGATGAATTTTTAAAAATTCGAAAAGAAAGCAATCTTAAAGCCATAATTGAATATTTTAAACTAAATTTTGAGATAAAAACAAGGGTTTTTAAATGTGTTTTGAATGTGTTCCCATCCCTCATTCAACAGTGTCAGAACATGGCTGGACGGCGGGGGTCCAGAGAGCCGTGGCTTAGCTGAGGTTATAATGAGGGAGCGTTGTAGCTCCTGTGTTTTTCTCTGCCTCGTCCAAAAGTTAGAGCTTTATAGACATTTGGACTCAAGCTTTCAAATAATTTAAAGGCGTTTTTTTTTTCAAGGACAATTGTTTTCTTTTAGTTTTTTTTTTAAATTCAAATAAATTTAAATAAATTCAAATAAATTTCAAAGACATAAATTTGCGTACAGAGATGTGCACGTGCGCGGGGTGTGTGTGTGTGTGTGTGTGTGTGTGTGTGTGTGTGTGTGTGCAGGTCTCACAGCATCCACGTGAAGGTTAGAGCACAGATTGCGAGAGTCTGTTCCTCTGCTGTGCGGGTTCCAGGGATCTGACTCAGGCCAACGGAGCCGTCTTGCAAAACCTTTCTTTTAGCGTCTGGTTATGTCAGGAACATAAAAACGAGCACATGTTCTTTTCCCTTTAGTCAAATCTGTAGTTAGCGTGAAGTGGTTTAGAGTCGAGCGAGTCCGCTGTGCGGACGTGGTGACCTTGGAATGCTGTACAATAAGTACGAGCTGCTATTTGGAGGACAAACTCTAAATTATAGAACAGGAGAATTCTTGTAAAAATGCGTCAGTAGGGAGGTGTCATCTACTTTGCATGTCGGAATTTTTGTTTGAATACATTGTTTGCGAACCACTTGAGCAGTGTTTGCTATGTTTTGTTAAATCTGGGAAGGTTAATATTTATCAAGATGGAATTACAGTGAATGCTTTTCTGGTAATTGAAAATTTGGTTTATTTTGTCCTCTCAGAATGAATCAAAATACTTGTTTTATTTCTGACAGCTTTGTGTCTGGTTCGGGCGAAAAATGTTTAAATTTGATGGGTGGGTTTAGCTCTCTTCAGAGCATCTAGAGCGGTGGTGCTTACCAACCTGTGGGTCGTGACCCCTTTGCCAACCAGCTAGCTCCAAAATATTGACATTATGATACATAACAGAAGCAAAACTGCAGTTATGAAGTAGCAATGAGATAACTTTATGGTTGGGGGGGGAGTCACCCCAACATGAGGAACTGTGTTAGAGGTTTGCGTTGTTAGGAAGTTTGAGCTCTGAGTTAGAGAACAGCATTGCCACACGGATGCTAACCTGAACTGAAGGTTGATGAAGTTAACCAGAGCTGTAACAAAGAGTAACAATAAAATCACAGAAACAGAAACCATTCAGCCTTGGCGAGTATGCGCAGGGCCCCGATTTAGCAACCCATGGGCACTCATCTCATTTTGAGTCCTACTTCACAGGTGACAAACTCAGGCTGAGCAATCTGACATCAGTGTCATGGCTGGAATGTCTCTAAAGTCTAGGTGCTTGAGCAAAATCTTACGATATCTTTCTATTAAAGAGAAACCGTTTGCTAAGAATTACGCTTTATGCATAGAAGAGTATTAATGAGGCAATTTTGTTTTATTGACTTGAATCTTTAAATTTTCTGGTAGCACATCTCACTCTGTGTGTAGCCCAGACTGGTTTGGTACTCACTTTGTGCCCCAGACTGGGCTCAAATCTGTGGCAATCTTCCTGCTCAGCCTCCCAAGGCAACCTTTTTCATGTAAGGATTAAGAAGACAAGCTGATTTTTGATCTCTCAGTTATATTTTACCATAAATATTAATTTTTAAGTGGTCTCCAATATTTATCTATGTCCACATAGATAAATTTTGACAATCTCTATAATCGTGTTTGAAAGCTAAAAGAAATAAGCATTATAATTTTAACAATATATTTTGTTTAATCCAATATATTTAAATAGTGTTTCAATTTGTAACCCATATTAACATCCTTAATGATATAGTACTTAAAAGTCTTACTGTTCTAAGTTCCTGAATATTTTTGATATTTATGAATATATTAAGAATCTCTGTTTTCTAATTCTTTGAGCAACTGATAAATGTTCGTTTAGGAAAATGACCACCGAGAATCAAAACAGTGGTTAATTGCATATGGCAGTCCTTTCAATTCTTACCCTAGGTGTTAGGTACCCTCCTCCTGCCGCCTTCCCCAGCTCTTGTACCCCCCTTCCCTCCCCGTCTCCCCTCCTTTCTCTTCTCATCTCTTTCCCTTGTCTTTCTTCGCTCATTTGGTGTCACTGTAACAAAACATTCCAGGCTGGGGACTTTCTAAAGGAAAGATGTTTATTTGGGCCCAACATTTTTGCCAAGCATGGTGCTAGCACCAGCTCCAGCAATAGCCCCTGCAAGAGATTTCACGTGCTACAGTGAGAGAGGAAGCCAGAGGGAGGGGCCGGTCTCCTCCTTCTGTACAGATGAATCCACTCCTGCAGGGTCTTCCTCCAGGAGTTTCTGTCCCTCTGTGAAGGACAGTCACAACCCACCCTCTCTCAGGTTAGGCCCCATCTCTTCAAGGTCCTGAAACCTCTCAACGCTATTACTTTGTAGATCACGTTTCTTCTACGTGGTCTTTGTGGATTCTAGACAGTTATCAAACTTTTTGTACAGACTGGGTTTACCCTATACAAACATTTTCCTTTAGTGATGGAAAAACCGGCAACTGAAATATAATCTCACACTTACGGTGCTGGGGTGTGGGTTTCCATAGCGTTCTCCTTGCAAAAGGAAACCGAGCGTGTATTTATTGTGTGCTTTATTATTTCTAATGGATGCATAGTATCATACCGTGCAATGGAACCAAATTTATCGAACCAGATTACTGTTTGTTGGTCTACAACTTATTTTAAATTGTCTTGGTAGGAAAGTGCTGGATGTGCAACCTGGCATGGTTCTCATTACGTATTCATAGGTTTCTGTGTAACATTTCACAGATTCGGATAACTGGGAGAAACATACATGCATTTTGAGTTTTGATACACGTCTTCAAATGACTTAATGACTTGTCTGAAAGATTTCTTTCTCTTAACTTCATCTGGAAGCACCAATCTTCTCATCAAAAAAGAGTAGACAACCTTCCTTAGAAATGGAATATTTTTGTTTTCTTACATAAAATGGGTCTTCCATTTTCATCAGTTCATACATGTGGCCTCGATTGCTAATATGGTTGTTTTGGTGTTGTCCTTGTCAGATAGCTAGCAAGCCCAGAAAGCAACAGCTCTCCAGGGGCTTAGCATATTATTGATGCTTCTTTGGAGGTTCACAAACGCCAGGAAGCGAGTGCCCTGCTCCCTGAGGTCCAAAGAAAGATGCTGCAGAATTTGGATTTAATCACTGAACTTCCAAGAAAACAGTGTGTGTGTGTGTGTGTGTGTGTGTGTGTGTGTGTGGTATGACTCACCAGGGGGCTGCCCTCCCGCTCTGCCCTTTAAAGCAAGCTTGACCCCAAGACCAGCTAGTACTTTTCCCTCCTTCTCCAGAAATTTCCTCAGGCGAGGATGCCTAGACTGTGCCAAGGGATCCTAGCTCCTTCCTAAAGGTTCATGGTCTGCAGCACAGGGCCAGTCTGTAGCTCAGTCACTTAGTGTTCATGGTAGATGCTCAGCAGTCGTAATCTGTCCCTAAGCAGCGTGGCAGCGTCTCGAATTCACACTGTAGCCTGTGTGAAAGTTGTGGTTTAGCATCCTGTGTTCATAATCAGACGTAAAGGCACCGTTCCCCTTCCTATGGGAGCCCCTGGCACGGCAGGTGCCTGGCTTGGTTGGCGGGAGACCAGACGTGCAGCAGAATCAAAGCTTGCTGCTGGTGGTGACGGCAGAGGAGGAGGAGGGGCGTTGTCCTCTGTTGGCCGCTTTGTACCTGCTGCAGCAGATGCACCGGGTACCAGTTGCTCAATAGTTTATCACTTTGTATCGCCCTTTCTTCTCCCTTAAGTGAATTTTGGTTTCGAGGGCATAGCTTGGTAGAAGAAAGATGTGGTGGCGATGGGGACCTTAGGGCTTTGGAATGTCCAGTGTGAGAAAGCAAAGCAGTGCCGGCAGGGCAATAAGATCTGGCTCTGGGCTTAGGGCTCTCTGGATCCTCCCCGTCTTTGGCAAGGGACTCTTGAGTCTCTAGAGTGACTACGGTGGCGGTAGCGGTGGCTCCGGGTGGGGGGGTGGGGGGGGCGGGGTCCTTGTCTGGTCCGCACAGCCCAACTGCTGAGAAGGGCGTGGGCCGCACGGTCCGAAGGGGTCCCGGACCCTGGTGCCTCAGGGGGTTCGGGCTCCGGGCCGGCCCCGGCCCTGGCGGTTGCCATGGTGACGTAGGGTCGGCTGCGCGCCGTAGAGACAAAGCGGCCCGCCCGCCCGTAGCTCCTGAGCTCCTCCTCCGCCGCGCCTCCCTCAATCCCGGCGCCGCCGCCGGAGCGGCTCACGGTCCTCCCAGCGAACCTCTCTCTCGTCCGTCCTCCAGCTGCCCCCCGCCGGCTGGTCAGGTAAGTAAGTCGCACACCAGTCTGTGGCCCGGGGAGGGTCCCAGGAGCTTCCGAGCTCGGTGTCCACCCGGCGCGGGGATGCACTGGACGCCCTGCCGGGCCACCCTAATGCCGCCCACCGCCACGGCCTCCGGGATCCCCACGCGCCCAGCACCTGCAGCAAACTTCGGGCCGCGCGCCGGGGCCGCGGGGCAGAGCCCTCAACACCGCCTATTCTGTCCCGGCCAAGTTGAGGGGCGGGCCGAGCCATAACCACCTGCCGGGGTATCTCTCTTCTCTTTTCTCCCACCTCTCTCCATCGCCTTTGATGATTTTAGAAGGAAAAGAAGGAAACAAAATTGCCCTAGGACTTTCGTGTTTTATGGTTAATTCCTTAAAGACCAGGATAGATGTAAGAGGAGCAAATGAGAGATTATTATTATTAATTATTATTAATTTAAAACAAATCTCCGAAGAGTCAGCGCATTCTGACGCTTGTGGTCCACGTATTTAGAAGTGGTTTCTGAAGTTCCTCTGGGTTTTGAATCTGAACCTGGAACTGCATAGTAGGAAAGAGTACCCAGGCTCCTGATTTATCTGCCTTTCCAGGATGTTAGCTGGACCAATACCTCATTGAGGAGATACTTGGCACCAACATCGTTGCTATTGTTTTTGGAAGACATTGTGTTCACGCTTTAGGCAAGTGGAAAATGCCTTGTGTGGTTTTCTTTTTCTTTCTTTCTTTCTTTTTTTTTTCTTTCCAAGGGAGACATCCAAAACACCCTTGGAGGCAGGTATCTAGGCAGTGTTTGCATCAGTGTTTACCAGTGTGGTGGCAAGGACTGGGATGCAGTTGCCAAGGGCATTGGAGTACCGGATGGGGAACTGCTCAAGTTGTGGGTACCACTCCTTTTCAATGGCCCCGAACCAGCAGATTATTTCACGATAGTTCATTGCAGACACAAAGAATAAAATTTAAAATGGGATAATGAAGTCTTACACTGGAAATGATACGTGCCATTGTGAGAGAAAGAAGATATCCGTTTCTCAGGATTGCAGTTATCAGGGAAATTCTACGTGTGCGGATGTTATCTGTATTAACTGGGGACAGATGCTGTGTTGATAACTGGAAAATCACTCACCGGTTAAGCTGTATAGCCCAACTTAGAAAAATCATATGTATGTAGGTTAGTTAGGGAACATTTTATGGGATGAGAAGAACTGTATTTTGTTGTTGTTGTTGTTAGCTGATATTATAGTTAATGAACCGGTAACATCGATCATTTTGAGTTGTGGTTAAGTTGATTAGAATTCTGGATATTATAGCTACAGGAGGTGTCAGCCCGGAGTGATTGTTTAATATTCCTTCTCCTTCTTTGGGATCCCAACACCTGTTAGCTCGCTGATTACTGGGTTCCTAAGCCTGTTCGCGTGTGCCAGCAATTTTAAGTTAATGCCACTTCATTCTAAGACTGTACTGGAAACTAAAGGACTTAGGCTGCAGTAATTTTCCGATTATCCCACAATCGGGCTTGTTTTTAAACTGAGTTTTGCCTGCAGAGGGGCTCATAGATGCCCTACTAAACACTCTTTGATGGGGTAATGAAATACTAGCCTGATTAAAATGAGGTAGAGCGGGTTTTGAGGAGATAAGCAGGGCAGAAACCCAGCATTTTCTCAATTCAGCCTGAAAGGCAATCAGGCTACCCGAAACGAAGGCACATTATATAGTCACGGAGTGTAGTTGCGCGGTTTGTACTAAAAATACAATTCGAGTTCTTTCTAAGGTACCAGGAGCGTGGCTTTATTTAGCTCCTTGTCAGCATCCTAACATTTGAGTACAAGGACTCTGTGCATGTAGCTATATGAAACCCACACTGGGAATTCTAGCTTGGGCAGTTGTGGCTCACAATTAGAGTGTCGAAGCGTAGAACTGCTTGGTGTTAATCCAGCAAGATAAGGGCTCCGGTTTGTCCTTCCATGCCCGGTCACACAGGCATAAGATTCAATAGTTTGACATCTTCAAAACAGCATTTTTTTTTTATTTTTGCTGCTTTCTAAAATAAAAAACACTAACTAGAAGCCAGAAATAAACAGCCATGGATTGAACGCACCGCTTACCAGGATTGGTTTACTTCCAGAAACCCTGATCTGTGTTTACATATATCACTGGCATTCTGGAGTGTGCATATAGCCAGGTGCTAGAAGAAAGTCACACTGGGACAGCCATCCTGCTGCAGTAGGAAATGCAAGCTGTACCCCAGGGCCTTGACTCAGATCAGCCACCTGGGGGAAGCAAGCACTCCCTTAGGTGTGAAGGGCTGGTCGCGGCTCTCCGCAGTTCCCAGGGGTGTTGTCTTTCCCCTGCACATCCATCCTGGTTTAACAGTCGGAATTTTTACAAAGTAAAACCGGCCTTAATATTTGGTCCAAGTTGTAAAATCCAGTCTGGCAGTTGGTGGTATGATTGCTCCACCTGATGAATCTTGTCCTTTAAATTTATCAAATGTATCCAGAGATAGGTACCAAGGCAGGCCAAGGAATCTTCTCTAGCTTCAAACTGATGTTACCTTTGTGCAGTTGAAAGTCAGTTGTCTGTAACCATAAAGCCTGCCTGGCAGCCTAAAGCCACCCAGCCTCTGCCTGCTGTTTCTGGGTCATCATTCTCTCGCAATTTCTGGTTGTACTGTGATAGCATGATTACGGCTTGGTAGTTCAGCAGCTAGTGCAATGTGTTGTAGCACTTATAAAATCACATTGCGGAAGGAGGAATGGTTTTTAATGACTTCATTACCCAAACACTTAGGCTTAGATATGTGGCTGGAGAGGAGGCGACCCCGAGACTTCCAGGCAAAGTGCTCTAAATATAAGATATCATCTTCTGACCCACTCTGCACCATGAGTATTGATCATAACCACTGTTCTGAGGATGGAGGGGGATACCGGCCATAGTGGCAGGAAGGGGTGTTTAGTGACATAGATTGTTAGTAATGATTGATGGAGACGGAGAGACTATTGTGGGTATATTCCAGTTTTGTGCTTTGAGTTAAGTAAGGGTATCATGGTTTAAAGCTATTTTGCAAACTCTAAGTGCTGAGTGGAAAATGAGTATGTTTATATTTATGAGATGGAAGTTCAAAGAAAATGGCTGAGTTCTTGTACCTTCTAGTTACATGCCACAGTAGCATAGCATAGATTCAGACATAGTTAACAAATGTGGACCACGCACTTCCTTCTTATCGATGGAGCTATTGCAACTCTTTGGTTGAAGAAGTATTTGCTTTATACATACTCTTATTTCTTTGATGTTTTTGTTTTTAACTCACTATTTATGCCACCCCAATCTACTACTTTGGTTTACTTTGCTGCCTTCATTTCTTTCAGGGGAAAAGTTACCTCCTAATCCTTTACTGATCAAAAACAAATGTTTATATCCTCAGAGCTACTTCTTAAAATGTGGTCTTGTTAATTTGTAGTTCAACCAGAAAAATACTGGGAACTCAGTGTGTGGTGATACACATTCACAAAAACCTTGCATGGCATGCCTCATTCTTCAGTTTGGCTGTTTGCAGAGGTGCTGCAGTGGGTGGGAACATCTGGGCTCCTGCTGGAGGACTTTGATCACGTGCATCCTCAAGGGTCTTATGCTAGATTCCTGCTTCTTCCCTTAAAGTCAGTCAAAAGTGAAACACCAGACTGGGAGCTGAGGGTCCAGGGAATGGAAAGGAGGTCCGTTCACAGCAAGGGCCCTCGAGGCACAGTGTTCAAGAATGGGGAGGAAAGGCTGGTGCCTCTAAACAGCTTTTAAATACCTCATGGTTTGTGTTCTCTGGCAAATTAAGGTCATCATCTACCTAGGGTTTCTGAGACTAGACACTCTCACATCAGCCTGCTCATGCTGGTGGCTGAGACCCATTTTCCTCCTCTGAATAAAATGGGTGTCTCTGGAATTTTGGCTTATGTGCACTTTTGAGCATTGCAAACCACACATGAAGGGCTGAGAAGACACTTTTCCCCATACAAGTCATGGAGTCCAGTTGGCCAGGTATGTGAGTTAGGTACTCAAGATCACTCTGGATCTATATAATTACGTGCCTGTCTCAAGTGCTGGGCTGTATTTGGATGGGCTTTGTTCTGAGTATTGATCACTTGTCAGCTGTCTTCCCTCCTTGCTAACTATAGCCATTCAAGCCGTCCGTACACGGCCCTTTGCGCAGTTTGATCACGATGTGGCGTGTCAGGTATAGTTCCTTCGAAGAATAGATATTTACTCAAGCTCTTGAATTATAAATCGATGGGAAAGGGTTTCTCTGTGATCTTATCTGGCATTTTCTCTGGCTATGCATTGATCTCCTAAGTGCCTGTCTGAATGCAGTCATTTGAATTTCCATCTGTTTTTTTTTAAAAGTCAGTTGGTCAGTCAATCAATCAATCATCAATCAGCCAATCAAAAGATATCAACCAGTGTGCTTGGCATTATGTTGAGCACATTACAAATACAAACTCATTATCTTCTACACGTGAACCTTAGGAGGCAAGTACTGGGCATTGCTCTTATTCTATGGATGATGACCCTGATGGGTTTTCTCTGTTATGTTAACTTAAAGATGCCAGATTTTGAGCTTTATGTTAAGCAGTGTACCAAGCTTTATTTTCTATCCAGCAGTATATACTAAGTGTAGAAATAACATCATTAATTATTAGGCTTGGACATTTTTCTTATTTTTCCCATCTTTCTTATTCCCATCTCTTTCATAAGGAGAATCCAAACTGAAGTCACAGGACAAGATTCATTTCTTTATTGTGTATCATGACATATGCCAGCATTAGTTTTTTTTTGGGGGGGGGGATGATGGAATTGAGATAGGGTCTCACTCTATAGTACAAGCTAGCCTGCAGTTAAATATGTTATCCAGGGTGACCTAGAACAAGTGGCCAGGCTGAACTGCCTCAGCCTCTTGAGTGTGGAGATTATAGGTGGGAGCTAATGTTTTTTATAGTTCATGATTTAAATTTTTTTT